GTACTGGAGCCTCAGCTTCAGGATCTGTCCTTCCAGTGAGCACTCAGGGCTGATTTCCTTAAGAATGGATACGTTTGATCTTGCAGTCCATGGGACTCTCAAGAGTCTCCTCCAGCACCAGAATTCAAAAGCATCAATTCTTCGGCGATGCAGAGTTACCAGGGCCCAAACTGGCATGCACGTGCAAGAAAGACACCATCCCCAAAAGCAAAAATGAACAAAACAAAGTTCCCATTCTGTGAGTTAGGTTGGGCTGAGTTTTGTTGACTGGTCTAAAGTCCCTCACTGAAATTCATAGCTAGGTGGACGTTTGAACCTGGGTCTCCCAATCCTATATGTTATAACCACTACACAATGCTTAGCACTGGATTAGGAAGCATGGGCTTACTTGAGGTATACAAGGTAAAAGGTAAAGGACCCCCTGGACGGTTAAGTCCAGTCAAAGGCGACTATGGGTTTGTGGCGCTCATCTCGCTTCAGCCGAGGGAGCTGGCATTTGTCAACAGACAGCTTTCCAGGTCATGTGGACAGCATGACTAAACCGCTTCTGGCACAATGGGCCACCGTGACAGAAACCAGAACACACGGAAATGCCATTTACCTTCCCATCACAGCGGTACCTATTTATCTACTTGCACTGGTGTGCTTTTGAACTGCTAGGTTGGCAGGAGTTGGGACAGAGCAACGGGAGCTCACCCCATCGCAGGGATTCAAACCACTGACCTTCTGATCGGCAAGCCCAAGAGGCTTAGTGGCTTAGACCACAGCGCCACCTGCATCACCAGAAATACAAGAGTATTGCGGGAGTATTGCATTCATTTGCCTTCCTCACTGGTGTCTCCAAATACTGGGCCAAATACATGCCTCCTCTGCAGGAAATGTGTGTTAGTGTAAGGTTACCAGACATCCCCGTTTCCCAGGGACAGTCACCGTTTTTACAAATCAGTCCCCATACAAAATCCATTGAGGTTGAAAAGTGTCCCCAGATTCATTGAAAAAAATCTGGTAACCTTATGTTAGTGAGACCAGACATCGCTTCTCTCTTCATTCCCTTCTCTCTTCATTCCTCTTCATTTCAGAGAATATAAACTGACAGGGTGGGAAAGGGATAATATGTTTGCCTCTCCCTTTTCAAACTTCTTTGTATTACAATTTTACAACACAAACACTTTAATAAACCTAAAAAGACACAAGTTAGGGGTGGTGTTGACAGCTGCTAGTACAGTATTAGACAGAAATGAGGGCAGTTTGCTTCATGGTGTTAAGGGCGTTTCACCTTAAAGCTGGAAAAGGTTCCGAAAACGACAACCAAAATGTTCCGGGGGTGGGGCAAAAGTCAGGAGAAGTTACAATATTCAGGGAATATTCAGAGAAAAGGAGAGTAAGGGGATATACAATAAAGGTGTATAAGATTACTTGAGGTGTGGATAAATAGGAGAGAGGGAAGTCTTTCCTCCCTCTCTCATAATACTACAACCTGAGACTCCCGAATGAAGCTGAATGCTGGGAGACTCTGGGCAAACAAAAAGAAGTGATTATTCACACGGTGGCAGCACATAGCTAAACAATGGAACACAGATAACTTTAAAGCCTTATTTAGGCAGATTCACAGAGGATGGGACTATCAATGGCTGCCATTCACAATGGCTGTGTCCTTCCGCCAGCACTGCCGAATTCAAGCTTCTGGGAACAGAAGTTTTTGCGCATTTCTAGAAGTGATAAATGCTTCTACTGATGCTGTGGTTGTTTTTTTTAAAAAAGAAAACAGTCTTGTGGCTGCTACACCACTCATCTCCCCTTTTAAATGCCTGTAGTTGTAGCCTCTACTTCAGTCTTGGTGGGCATGCACTGTTTTGGGATGGGCCTCAGCTCACTCTTAACCAGGCGTCAGCAACCTTTTTGAGCCATGGGCCAGTCCACCGTCCCTCAGACCTTGTGGGGGGCCGGACTATATTGGGGGGGGGGGTGAACGAATTCCTATGCCCCACAAATAACCCAGAGATGCATTTTAAATATAAGGACACATTCTAATCATGTAAAAACACGCTGATTCTCAGACCGTCCGCAGGCCGGATTGAGAAGGCGATTGGGCCGCATCTGGCCCCCAGACCTTAGCTTGCCTACCCCTGCTCTTCACCTCGTGTTACCAGCTATAGGGCTGGTGTCAAGGGCTGGACTGAGGAGGAATGGTGTGGACCGCCCCTCCTCCCTTTTCTTGAACCTCCCAAGAACAGGAGGACAGTATTGATTTAGAACAGTGGTTTGCAGAAGGGCATAGTTCAGAGGCTGCAGAGCGGAGAAGCTGGGAAATATTGGAAGAGGAACAGCAGGAAGAAGAAGCACCACCAGGGGAGAGACAGCTGACAGACTCAGTCAGTGTCCTTGGAAAGCATTCCTGACTCCCCTCTCTCCCAGAACCAGGTGGACATTGAGGGTTTTAGAACAGAGAGCTCAGAAGCAGAATAGCCGACACAGGAGTGACATCTGATGGGGAGACGTATGGGCGTGGGGCTTTACTTGGAGCAACGCCATTATTAGGGAAGGCTGCATTCCTTCGTTGCTCTCTGTGAATTATTGAATAAATTGCTTGGTGAGATCTTTTATCATTTCTCTGATTCTTAGCTGCCACCATGGGGGGGGTCTGATTCCCCGAAGCCTGACAGCTGGGCAGAACAAATTCACACATGCCGTACGCAGAGCATACAGATGCCTCTCCCTTTGAGATCCGCAGCAGTATTGAGCATGAACTTTGTAGGAATCCCACTTGCGTAGAAAGTACACCATGCCATGGTCCAGCAGAGTTTGCGTTGTCATAGTCCCATCTATGCAGGGCACCTGTTCGCACTCTGCTTCAGCTAGGGATATCTGAGTACTGTGGATGAATATTGGCTGTTCCGTACACAGAAGCAAAATGTGCATTTTCCATGTGCATGGTGACCTAAATGCAAGGGAGGCTCTGGGATGATGCTGTGACGCTGTGCGTCCAGAGGTTTCTCGTGGGACTAGCTTGTGTGGCAGGGTTGTTTTCAATACCACCCCCTTGTAGCTCAGAGTAAAAAAAGGCAAAGGGCCGCTGGACAGTTAAGTCCCATCAAAGGTGACTCTGGGGTTGCAGCACTCATCTCGCTTTCAGGCCGAGGGAGCCGACGTTTGTCCACAGACAGCTTTCTGAGTCATGTGGCCAGCATGACTAAACCACTTCTGGCGCAACGGAACACCGTGACGGAAACAAGAGCACACAGAAATGCCATTTACCTTCCCGCTGCAGCGGTACCTATTTATCTACTTGCACTGGTGTGCTTTCGAACTGCTAGGTTGGCAGGAGCTGGGACAGAGCTTAGAGTGCACCTCTGTTGGAAGAGGCCCTCCAACATGGAGCCCTTGATCTGGATTGAGACCATGTTTCAGGTCAGGATGCCACAGCTGCTTTTTCTTCAACACAAAAGTGGTGAGTCTAACCATGCTTTTCCCCCAAAGCTTTGGTCCTCGGTCTTGATTCTGATCAAGCAGAAGAGGGTTTCCCTGTAGTTCTCAAGCAAGCCACAAGAGGACAACCCACACTTTCATGCAGAACAGTTTTCCGTCCCTTCTAAAACAAAGTTTTCTCCTCCTTCTTGCATTATTTGAAGGTTACGTTTTATTTAATGAAGCAAGCAAAACACAGGAGGGAAAGTAAGACTTACAGCTCCGTGATTTGTAGGTCGAATAGCCACATTTCATTGGGATCCAAAGTGCTACTGCAATGTGTATTAGCCAAGGATTTACTACAGAAATCTCAGCACATTTAAAAAAAAAATGAATTCATGTAAGCAGTTAAGCAAAACTAAGTAAAATCCAGCAATCACTAGCTGCACTTTGAAACTAGGTTCTTCTGGGTCCGGCATTCCCTGGAGCTGCCCTGAATCAGGCCTATGCATTTGTTTCCAAAAAGTGCACCCACTATTTATGGTGCAGTATTAAGAGTATCTGACTAGCACAAGGGAGACTTGGGTTCAAATCCCTATTCAGCCATTTAGCTCACTGGGGGACCTTGGGCCAGTCATCGGTTCTCAGCCTCACCTACCTCCAAGGGTTGTTGTGCAGATAAAATGGGTGGAGAGGGAATGCCATGCGTTATTCTTGAGGTCTTTAGAGGAAAACTGAGATAAAAACAAATAATAATCACTTCTGGAAGCAGGATAGAGGGGAGAGGTCCACTGAATCCACTTTTTTCTCATGCTCTCCAACAGGCAATTAGCACTATCAGATACTGGTGAACACCTTTTCACCAGTGATCAGACATACAAGAAGGAATCAAAGTATATTACTGCACACAAAGAGATGAGGAATTTAATGTATACAGAACACTTCAGTGAAACATGCGAAGCACAGTGTAATAAGCACTCAGAGCCGACTAAAAATATAGGAAGGTAGCAAACGACAACAGTTTTCCCCTGGCAAGTGTTCTTTAAGCACCATGGGCATGCTCTGTACAGCACTTAGCACGCTGTGCTAAATAAATGTTAGAACAGCATTCACAGTTAAGTAGTTAGGAGATCAAAGTGGTGTTACCCATATGATGGATATGTGGCTATCAGCATTGCCTGTCTATAACAAGGCATACAGTGGTACCTTGGTTCTCAAACTTGATCCATTCCGGAAGTCCGTTCCAAAACCAAAGTGTTCCAAAACCAAGGCATGCTTTCCCATAGAAAGTAAGGCAAAATGGATTAATCCATTCCAGATTTTTAAAAACAACCCCTGAAACAGCAATTTAACATGAATTTTACTATCTAACAAGACCATTGATCCATAAAATGAAAGCAATAAACATGTACTGCAATTGTTTGCAGTCAATCAATCAATCAGTAGCTGAACTGGGTTCCACACAGTCACAAAAACAAAACAATAAAGCCACAAAAATGCAAAATTAACAGCAAAAACAGACCGGCCTCAGTGTAGCACTCAAAACAGAAGTGTAACACTCAAAATGGAGCATGTTTGGCTTCCAAAAAATTTTTGCAAACCAGAACACTTACTTCTGGGTTTGCAGTGTTTGGGTTCCAAGTTGTTTGACTACCAAGGTGTTTGAGAACCAAGGTACCAACGTATTTTGAATGTGTGCAACACATCAATTCCTCTCCTCTATATTTGTGCACCTAGCCACCTATAACACCTAAGAGAAATCTCTCAAGGTAACTCTGGGCTAAGGGCGGACAAATCAATTGCACAGAGATTCGGCAACCTGGGGAGGATTCCTTCCTGCACATGTGAGCACCCCACTTTAAATCCTGTGAGAGCCGATGAGGTGCAGTCCGTGGAACAGGAATCAAGATCTGCACCTGTCCTTTCGAAGGGTGTTGATGTGGAGATGACAACCTCAAATCAGAAAGGAATGGAGGCTTAGTTGATCTGGTTGTGAAAGTATAAGTTGTCCGGGCGTTCTCTGTCAAGATGCTAAAGCAACACATGGTATGTGTTGACCAGCTGACTTCTCAAGGGCAGTCGATTGCAAAACACTTCCCACCCCCACCCCCAGCCCTTAGGCTTCGTCGCTGTATTTCTTCACATTAAACCTTGCGTTCATTAGCGGCTCAAACCCCTTCCGGTGTCTCCGGTGCTGGAAGAGGACTAGCAGAAGGACCAGAACAAGTAAAGCAATCAGAGCTCCTCCAATAGTAGATCCAACCATGAGAGCCCAAGCGCGGGTCTCTTCAGCCGATTCTGTGAAGGCAGAAGAGCAAAGCCAAATGTTAAGTTGTGGGTGAACATATCAGACGACACAGCGATTCTTCAAACAGCTCTTGTTTATTCACAGGTCAGAACAGAACTGAACTGAAGGGTTCAGCCAGCCTGCTTATATAGAGCTCCACTAGAACGCAACCGTAACCATTTTCTGTAACTATCCAATCACTGAACGTCACTTTCAATCCCTTATTTGCATATGTGGACCTGAGTGAAAACTATCTACAGTATCCCCCTGCTGGCCCAGGGTGAGAACTTCAGTACATAACACCAATTATGGTCTACAAAAGACAAACAAGTCAAATCTGTAATGATACACTGGGCAGGAGACTTTGGGTATAACATACAGCTCACAGCTTGGAAGAAGTTATGGAATTGGGATTTAAAGTTCACGGCATGTTATATGTCACGCCAGTGCTGAGCTCTTGCAAGCTAAACTTGCGCTATATACTGTAACTCACAAAACTACCGTAGTTTTCGCTCCATTACACGCATTTTTTTCCTCCTAGAAAGTAAGGGAAAATGTCTGTGCGTGTTACGGAGTGAATGCTTCCCTCCTCCGTGGTTTCCAGCATGAGAAGAGCCACTGAATGGGGAGGAGAGAGGGACAGAGTGCCTGCTTCTTTAAAGGAGCAAAGCGGGAGGGGAGAGGAGCCGCTTACACGAGTGTAAGCGGCTCCTGTCCGGTTGGCTCCTTTAAAGCAAGCAGGCTCTCTGTATCTCTCTCGTCCCCACTCAGCGGCTCTTCTCCCGCTTTGCTGGAAATAGCAGGAAAGATTTTCAGCTCGCTAAGGGGGGGGGGGAGGAGGGAGAGAAGCAGAGCCTGCTTGCTTTAAAGGAGCAAAGCGGGAGAGGAGCTGCTTACACGAGTGTAAGCAACTCCTGTCTGGTTGGCTCCTTTAAAGCAAGCAGGCTCTCTGTATCTCCTCCCGCTTTGCTGGAAATAGCAGGAAAGATTTTCAGCTCGCTAAGGGGGGGAGGAGGGAGAGAAGCAGAATCTGCTTGCTTTAAAGGAGCAAAGCGGGAGAGGAGCCGCTTACACTCATGTAAGCGGCTCCTGTCCAGTAGGCTCCTTTAAAGGAAGCAGGCTCTCTGTCCCTCCAGCAAAGTTTTTCAGCTCGCTAAAGGGGGGGGGGAGGGAGAGAAGCAGAGCTTGCTCCACGCGTGCTCCTTGTCCCTTGAGTGCTTTTCCTTCCCTCCCCACTTAAAACGTGGTTACAAAGCACAGATCCACATGGAGCCTCAGGATTTTTGCGCTGGGTCACACCAAATTCACCATCAGGTCACATAGCATGTCCATGGCTACAGTTTGCACCAAAAAAAATCACGCACCCACTGTTGCCTGGGGCCGCAGTGGTGCAAAAACGTGGTTACAAACATGGATCCACATGGATCCACAGGATTTTTGCATTGGGCTACCCCAAACTCACTGTCAGATCACATGTCTGTGGCCACAGCATGAACCACAAAAATCATACATCCACTGTTTTGTGTAGAATATTTTTTTTCTTGTTTTCCTCCTCTAAAAACTACATGCGTGTTATGGTCGGGTGTGTGTTATCGAGCGAAAAATACGGTATCTAGTTACCAGGCAAGTCAATGGCATAGCTGTAGCCAAGCTGTTCTGCAGGTAGAAACAGTTCTTCGTTGGCTACCGGAGGGAAGAAAGGCACCATGTTGAACTTCCGGTTGTGGCCGATAGGAGCCAGTTCTTCGGGCCACGCACTGCCAGACGGGCGAAATCGTTTCATCCATTCATCAAAAATAGCGTCCGTAAAGGAATGGAGGACCTGGGAAGTCAATTCACACATGATCTTAAGCTCACAGGGCTATGCCCAGGCCAATATGATGAAAACAAATAATTTGCCCGTGTTCATTTTATTCCCTGTGCTGTTTATCATCTATATGAAACTACTAAGTGAGGTCATCTGGAATTTTGGAGCACAGTGGTGCCTCGGTTTAAGAACAGCCCTATTTATGAACTATTCGGTTTAAGAAACTCCGCAAAACTGGAAGTAATGTCCCAGTTTGCGAAATTAACCTCAGTCTAAGAATGGAAGCCGAACGGTGGAAGGGCACCAGCAGCAAGAGGCCTCATTAGGGAACACGCCTCAGTTTAAGAACGGCTTCAGTTTGAGAACGGACTTCCGGAACGGATTAAGTTCGTAAACCGAGGTACCACTGTACATTGACAGCAATACGCTGATGATACACAACTCTGTTTCTCTTTTACATCTGCAGGTGAGGCAGCGGATGTGCTGGACTGATATCATATAGCTGGGCATGTTTAGCCTGGAGAAGAGGAGGTTAAGGGGTGATATGATAGCCATGTTCAAATATATAAAAGGATGTCATATAGAGGAGGGAGAAAGGTTGTTTTCTGCTGCTCCAGAGAAGCGGACACAGAGCAATGGATCCAAACTACAAGAAAGAAGATTCCACCTAAACATTAGGAAGAACTTCCTGACAGTAAGAGCTGTTCGACAGTGGAATTTGCTGCCAAGGAGTGTGGTGGAGTCTCCTTCTTTGGAGGTCTTTAAGCAGAGGCTTGACAACCATATGTCAGGAGTGCTCTGATGGTGTTTCCTGCTTGGCAGGGGGTTGGACTCGATGGCCCTTGTGGTCTCTTCCAACTCTATGATTCTATGATTCTATGATCATGCTTCAGTAATAGACTGGAGAGCCAACAAACTGAAGCTCAATGCAGATAAGACTGACGCATTGTTAGTGGGTGGTTCCCTAGACCAGATGGATGGGAGGTTGCCTGTTCTTGATGGGAGCCGGAGTCTATCAACACTTGAAGGCCCACACATTTCCTAGTCCTATCATAATGCAATCAGCAGTGCTGGCTATTACTTCCTGGTGTGCTTTGAGGTGACACCAAGACTCAATATTTAAAATAATCCAAATTTAAGATAAATGAAGCCACGATCTGTAGGTAAGGGGAGCAAATGAGCCTCAAACCCTCAGTGAGTTAAGGACTTCTGCTGCATGCAAAGAGAGGCTGCAGTAGATTGAGCAGATGAGACTAAGAGTGGGTCCAATGGTCGAAAATATGGTTTCAGCATGTGATGTAGAAGGAAGTAAGGGGCAGATGGGACTCTTCAACCCCAAAAAGTAGCCCATCTTGTTATCTCACAGGATACCTTTGGGGAAAGGGACGCGGGTGGCGCTGTGGGTTAAGCCACAGAGCCTAGGGCTTGCTGATCAGAAGGTCGGTGATTCGAATCCCCACGACGGGGTGAGCTCCCATGGCTCAGTCCCTGCTCCTGCCAACCTAGCAGTTCGAAAGCACGTCAAAGTGCAAGTAGATAAATAGGTGCCGCTCCGGCGGGAAGGTAAACGGCGTTTCCGTGCACTGCTCTGGTTCGCCAGAAGCGGCTTAGTCATGCAGACCACATGACCCGGAAGCTGTATGCCGGCTCCCTCGGCCAATAAAGCGAGATGAGTGCTGCAACCCCAGAGTCGGCCACAACTGGACCTAATGGTCAGGGGTCCCTTTACCTTTGGGAAAAGAAAAGGTTAAGGAATAAACTCTACACAAATCTGGAGTGGAGTCCCTAAAACGGTTGGATGTCACCTTGTACACCTCTTTCCAGCAACGCCTGCAGCCAAGCTAATGTCAAACATATTGGCTTTCCTTTGGACCACATCAGGGAGATGATAACAAGCGGTATGTTACAAGCTGTGAAGGTGGATGAAGGCTGCAGCAGATAAGAATCTACTGGTCATCATGACTACTCATGCCATTAGAACAGAGCCTTACTGCAAAGACTGTGCGCTGGTCAGCGTGCACTGATCTACACACATAAAACAATTTCATGCACAGGCATCTTCCAAAAACCCTTCCCAAACACAAACTCCAAAAGTCCCATGGTGATCGGCAAATGGTAACAGGGGCAGGATCGTGAAATCTAGTCATGAACTGACACATGAGCGGTGGATACAGATTTAGTCATTCTGACTCAAGGAATGAGGCAGTTGAGCAGCTCAGCAGCTGTATCCATGACTGAGCGGTCCTTTTTAGGATCCACTCAGCTCACCGCAAAAGGGGGGAGGAGCTAGAAAAGGTGCCCTAAACATAGTCTGCCTCCCTTTTTCCCTGACTGGATTATCAATGTCCCCACTGTGGAAGGACATGCGGATCCAGAATTGGCCTCCACAGTCACTTATGCACTCATTGTTAAAACCGTGTTTATGGGAGACAATCTTACTCAGCTATACGAGTGATTGCCAAAGAAAGGAAGAAGAAGAAAGAATCTGGGAGATCTTGTCTAGACAGCCCAGGACCTCCATACATACTGCCCAAGTTGCACACAGTGGAAGGTTACTTCAGTGCAGCTAGCACAGTGATTTGGAGGTGCACTCCATATTCTCTTGAGACAGATGGAAGCCAACAACAATATTTAAGAATTGCAAGGTTGGATTTAATAATATATCAATATTACCACGTCTAGATTCTGTAATAGGCTGATCCTGGGATGCTGGTTTCTCATTTTCTCTCCGTTTTTATAAGTTTTATTTACTACATTTAGATCCCTGTGGAGTTCAGGACACTTCACATGGGGTTCTGTGAAATCTATAAAGGCATCACCTCTACTGAGACCAGCATCTTGTGCCTTCAGGTCCTTCTCTGCGCCACAGAGAATGAAAATCCATCTCCTTCTTTAGGTATCAACCATTCTTTAAAAACCTGCCATGAAGGAACGCAGCTGTGGCTTCTTTCCTTAGGCATCGTTACAGAATGGTACTGCAGTCAATCGGAGTTCTTACATTTCCTACAGGTATTTTCCCCATGTACCGTAGTTTATCTATTTGCATTCCTAAAGCTGCAGGGTTCGAGCTTTAATTTAGCCACCAGATGGAGCTCACATACTCCATTATGCCCCCAGAACACCGATGGAAGATCTTATGAATTAACAGAGGCACTTTCATGCATATGAAATATTCCTTCCCTGCTTCCCCCCCCCATCTGCCCACATAGGGGTGCTGTGAGGTGCACGAATAGGACACTCACAAAAGGGTTGTAAACACTTTATCAAAACAAAACTAGTAATGAATCAGATTTTGATTTGTCATCATCATCATCATAATAATAATAATAATAATAATAATAATAATAATAATAATAATAATTTTATTTATACCCCACCCATCTGGCTGGGTTTCCCCAGCCACTCTAGGCTGAGGAATATTCCCCAACAGAATATTAAAAACACAATAAAACATCAAACATTAAGAACTTCCCTAAACAGGGCTGCCTCCAGATGTCTTCTAAAAGTCAGATAGTTGTTTATTTCCTTGACATCTGATGGGAGGGTGTTCCACAGCCTCCTCCCTTCTGTGTCTAAATGATCTAATCAGAGAGTTGTTTTTACCTCCACAATTCATTCCATTATTTTGAAACGCAGGCGGGATTTCGAAAGTGGACTAAAGTCTGTTTACACGACGTCAGATCACCAATTCACCAACCTGAGTACTTTTGACATATGTTGGTTAAATCTGAAGTAGCAACACTTTAACCCAGTGGTTCTCAACTGGTGGTTCACAGACTCCAGAGGATCTGTGTAACCCACCCATCACGGGTCCGGGACATCCTGTTTTGGGGGGCCATGCTCTCATGTGCGAGCACAGCACCTAAAAACGTGTGTGATCATGGCTGGACACCTGTCTTGCTCAAGATCGCAGCTCCAAAAAGGGCACACATCTGGCTCTAGCGAAAATTGAAAATGTCAATATTGGGTGGATAGCATCAGCAGGTACACCAAATAATCAAGAGAAGACATGATTTCTGTTCTCATTCGTAGAAGTGGTCCTCCTGGGAAATGTTCCCCAATAGGTAAAGATAAAGGACCCCTGAACAGTTAGGTCCAGTCAAAGGCAACTATGGGGTTGGGGCACTCATCTCGCTTTCAGGCCGAGGGAGCCTTCAGTTTGTCCACAGACAGCTTTCTGGGTCATGTGGCCAGCATGACTAAACCGCTTCTGGTGCAACGGAACACCATGACGGAAACCAGAGCGCACAGAAATGCCGTTTACCTTCCCGCCGCAGCGGTACCTATTTATCTACTTGCACTGGCGTGCTTTTGAATTGCTAGGTTGGCAGGAGCTGGGACAGATAAACAGGAGTTCATCCCATCGTGGGGATTCGAACTGGCAACCTTCCGATCGGCAAGCCCAAGAGGCTCAGTGGTTTAGACCACAGCGGTACCCACATCCCAATAGGCATATTTGGTTACAAGGACTTCAAGGGACCCAAAATGAGATAAGGACATACCACAAAGACAGGATCGTTCACTGCAGAATGAGGGAAAGCACTCGTTCCGTTCAAGACCGAGTGGACCAAGTTATGGAGGCTCACGGCTGATGGGCCCAGGGTTCCGTTGGGTTCATCGAAGCCTTCCAAAGTATTCCTGTGTCAAGCAACACAGAGCATTACCATCTCACAAGCTCCCTTGTGCAGCAAAGCAAACGATGCAAACCAAAGAACTAACCTGAAGCTAAAACTAGAATTCCGAAAGAAAGGCGGCTTGTCAAAGTCTTGCAGAGAGAGGCAATTCTGGACATCTTCCATGGTTGGTAGCCGGTCCCCTGCTTTGCTGAATGGGTTCCTCTGCAGAAGTCCTTCATTGGTCCCGTTACAAAGTGTAACCAGGCGGTTATAGTCATCCAAACTTGGGTTTACAAATAGAGAGACATGAAGCAGTCAGACTTGATTTTGTGCTGAGCTATTGATTTTATGCAGGGAGGAAGACAGGCTGAAAGCTATAATTGGTTTTAACTGGAAGATTAATTAGCCGGTGCTTAGTTAATCTTCCAGTTGGGGGAAATGTTGATCACCCATACATGAAGTGTTTGTGCACCAGGGAGCATAGGAGCAGGGGCGTCTTACCCATAGAGGCTAGTGGCGCCAGGGTGCCAGGGAAGAGGCGGAAGCTGGACGCAGCTCCTCCTGGAATCAGCTCGCCTGCCCTCGCCCACCTCCACCATGCTGCGTTGAAGCAGTGCCGCACCTGGAGCCTCCGTCTGCCGTGGCCACCACGGCACGAAGCGTCCAGCTAAGCCGGGAGGCGTCGCGTCCAGCCTCCACCTCTTCCCCACCGGAGGAGCCACCCTCTAGCCGCTGACCGCCTCCTCCAGCCCTGCCGGCAGTGCAGTCCTCCCTTAAAAACTCTGGGAAAAGGGGGGGCACCAGAGGGAGCTTTGCACCATGGCGTCAGATATAATAATAATAATAATAATAATAATAATAATAATAATAATAATTTTTATTTATACCCCGCCCTCCCTGACCAGAGCCAGGCTCAGGGCGGCTAACACCAGTAAAATTACAGTAAAAACATAATGGGGGGGACCAATTTAAAATACAGGTTAAAATGCAATTTAAAATGTAGCCTCATTTTAAAAGTAGCCCATAGATCAAAACCATAAGGGGAGGGAAACATAAGGGTCAGACTGAGTCCAAACCAAATGCCAGGCGGAACAGCTCTGTCTTGCAGGCCCTGCGGAAAGATGTCAAGTCCTGCAGTGCCCTAGTCTCTTGTGACAGAGCGTTCCACCAAGTCGGGGCCAGTACTGAAAAGGCCCTGGCCCCAGTTGAGGCCAATCTAAGCATCTTGCGATTTGGGACCTCCAAAATGTTGTCATTTGTGGACCTTAAGGTCCTCCGCGGGGCATACCAGGAGAGGTGGTCCCATAGGTATGTGCTTCCATTTTTGACTAACTAAGGTTTGTTGTTATGTCTGAACCCAAAGAAACTGTGGGTAGTCTTATCTACACTTTAGGAAAACAAGTCAACTTCAAACTGTGGCTTGTGGTCCTGGTTTGTTTTGCTAAACCATAGTGAAGATTAACCACAGTTGTGGCTTCGGGCATAAGAGCAAATCAGAGTTAACTGCAGCTGTGCTGCAGAAGTAAAAGGGAGAACAGAGCCTGAGGCTCTGTATGTAACACCAAACCATCGTTTAGCATTACATCTGAACCAAGTCTTGGTGGCAGCTATTACTTATTAAAGTGAAAATTATCTTACACTTCCTCCAGAGATTTTAAAATGTCACCTTTATTGAGGTTTTGATGCAGCATTTCTTTAAATGCAATGAATGAGTTTATTCATCAATGAAAAGGCAGGTAATTCTTGAATTTATTGACAGCTCAAAAAAAAAATCAAAGAAGGAATTAAAAACCTGGATGCATAGGTATCCCCAATACCTCAGTTCTAAACAAAATTGTGTTACCTGTTGCATACTATCTGCCACTGTGAAAACCTTGAATTCCGACTTATTAGGTTTGGGTCGTCTGGACTCGGTGCTCCCAAAAGCTGATCAGTACACACATCACATTCATTTCTGCCTGTAGCAAAATTCCAATAAGGCAATGCAAAGGAATCGTTCCCAATCATCCGCTAAACACGAGAGTGGGGAGATGGAGGGGGTGGAAATGAAACCACTTTGGATTAGTTCTTTGCATAAAACATTTGTTAAAATTATTTCCGCAGCTCAACAAACCCCATATAACCTCTTTGCAACATTTGCCCAAATCGTCTCTTTCCTTTTTCAAATCCAGGCCATCCCAATTCCTACAAAAACATGAATATCTCTTCAGGTAGGTGTGCTATATTTGCCTGAAATCAGAGCACAAAGCTTCTCCACACACAGAGAGACACATGTGCCTTGTGTTGCATACAAAACAAATCTATGATTCTGTCAGAAGGGATGCTGAGGGTCATCGAGTCCAAGCCTTTGCAATGAAGGATGTTATGTACTGAGTTGAATAGGATCCAAAAGGCAGCAGTCTGATTGGTCCTAGAACAATAGGATTCAGAATGCAGAAGTCTGATTGGTCCTAGAACAATAGGGTCCAGAATGCAGCAGTCTGATTGGTCCACAGGAGCCACCCAATCCAGCTCCAGGTGGAAGTGAATCCGCAACCTGATTGGCCTACAGGTGAATCCCGGAATTAGCCAATCACGTGGGGCCCACTGTGTAAATAATGTATATAAAGCAGACATTCTGGGGGAACTTTCATTCCTCCTCACCACTATGAGCTGAATAAAGAGCATGAAATCCACTCTCAATTCCGAGTAGATTTCACAGGAATATACAGCTGTCCCATATGGGGATTGAACCTGCGACCTTGCTGTTATCAGCACCATGCTCTAACCAACTGAGCTATCCAATGGATTGCCTTTGCATCAAAATGAAAAGAGAGGAACAATGTAATGATAGCAGACAACAGACAGCGAGACAAACATAGTTTTAGCAGAAGATGAACAGCAGTGGAACGGAAACAGTGTTGCATGAGAAAATACAGGGGGGGAGAGAAGGAACGCTCAGTCCTCAGGTGGTGGGCGCCCTTTGTGGGACCATGTGCAGCACCCCCGAGACTCGTGGGACTTACCACCTGCCTCCCTGAGGCCACAGCCGTTGGGTGTTCCTGCCAAACCTTGGTTCAAATAATCCAATCAGTGGCACTGGTGGAGGCAGGGCCAGCCAAGGGGTCTACTCATGCTGTTTATTAGGGGGCGGAGCCAACAGCAAAGCATGCAGTGGTCTCTCAGGGGTCGGGGGGTCCCCTGGACATGCAAAACAATCATTCTTACATGCCTAATTAGAGTGGGGTGGCCTTGGATTATTTTCTGTGTAGTTTATCCCCACCTCAACTGATCCGTCTACCAGCCAATGCAGCCAATGCAGCTGTGGTCTAAACCAGTGTTCCCCAACCTTGGGTCTCCAGCTGTTTTCAGACTGCAATTCCCATCATCCCTGACCACTGGTCTTGTTAGCAAGGGATGATGGGAGTTGTAGTCCAAAAACAGCTGGAGACCCAAGGTTGGGGAACACTGGTCTAAACCACTGAGCCTCTTGGGCTTGCCGATCAGAAGGTCAACAGTTTTAATCCCCACGACAGGGTGAGCTCCCGTTGCTCTGTCCCAGCTCCTGCCAACCTAGCAGTTTGAAAGCACACCAGTGCAAGTAGATAAGTAGGTACCACTGTGGCAGGAAGGTAAACAGTGTTTCCGTGAGCTCTGGTTTCCGTCACAGTGTCCTGTTGGGCTCAAGCAGTTTAGTCATGCTGGCCAGATGACCCGGAAATCTGTCTGTGGACAAATGCCGGCTCCCTCAGCCTGAAAGCGAGATGAGCGCCGCATCCCTATAGTCACTTTTGACTGGACCTAACCATCCAGGGGTCCTTTACCTTTACCAGTGCAACAGATAGGGAAGCTTCAAATCCTTTGTCACATCATTCTCTTTCCTCAGCACCATCTTTACACATTTCCCATTTTGTGCTAGAATGCTAAACCTTAAGGAGGCTCATTATGCTGAGAATTCCTCCCTCTCAGGAATGGGGGGGTGAGAGGGAGGGAGGGCTTAGAAGCTGCCCTGTTTGCATCTTTCAAACATACACCAGTCGGTGTTTTCACTAACCTGCAGATCTCTTTCCAGCAGCAGCAAGTGATATCTGTGCCAAGTTACAAAGGCAGGTCCTTGGTGGGAGAAGTCTATTGCCGTGAAGGGGCGGCCTGGTCCTGTGGGTTAAAATGGAATTAAACTTAGAAAGGGGACGTTTTCTCTATCACATTGGATAGAAATCCATTAAAAAAAAACATTGCTACAATGCTTTGACAGACGAGGGAAAGCTGCGCCTTTTGCTGTCCTGGCTTATAAATTATGGCACATTCTTGTTTCTAAAATTCTAGATATCTACCCATTTAGCTGACTGCCATATGCCAGGAGTCACATTAGGCCAGGTAGGCACAGATGAAATGTTATCTGCCAGCACCATTCTTTTTCCTATCCTGTGGTGAAAACCCTGTATGCTCTGCATGGAAAATTCAGAATGCAAAACTATTTCCATTTTTGGCTATCAGAACAGTGATCGTATGTGGCTCTAAACTTTATGTTTCAGACAAAGGAATGTAATACTAGAACATTTCCACATCTATTTCTGATTTATTGGTTTCTTTTTTATGGCTTTCTTGTGTGTTTTTAAAGAAACATATGCACCCCCCCAAAAAAACAGTGTAAAATAGATGTAATACAAATTCAAACCTCAGTACTGTACAAACTATACTGCCTTTCTACTAACTAGACTATTCCAAAAATTACAGGAATCCTAAGAACCTTCAAGGAGCATTCCAAAGCTCCTAAGTAGGGAGAATGGGGGAAAAATCCTCTTCCCCAGAAGAGGGGAAGTTCTCAGACAAATCACATCCACTGTGTTGAAAATGTTCCATTTCATATGTGTGTTTTTCCAAAGTGGCTTTTTTAAAAAACAACAACACTCTGTTGACATTCCTTTTAGTGTGTGTTTCAGCTTTTCCTATCTTTTCCCTTGCTAATGGAAATCACCAACCTAAAAGAGTGTCTCTGACTGAGTAATAATGAAGCCACACATAGTAATTGTAAATGCTGCAATTTGCAACTTGTGGGTCATTTCCACTGGGACCAAGCAGACTCAGCCAGTGTTGGGTGGCGATCACATAGTCGGGGTGAACGGTGGTCTTTGCGCGGTTGAGGGCATCCAAGAATTGCTCTCGCTCTTCTTCCGTCAAAGCGTGGATATTCTTCCGGACAACCAGAGGCTTCTTCTCGTCACAGTTGGGCCCTGACCAACCAAATTTGCAGTCCCCACAATTGTAGCCGGCAAAGTTCCCTGTATTAAGAGACAGCATCAGTCATACGTCAGCATACCAAAGCAGATGTTGCCCAAACCTCTCTGATGAGGAGGAGTTAAAGGCTGAATAAACGCTAAACATTCAAAGCTGTCAGGGACTGTGCTGAAGAGGAATGCTGGGAGCCTCCCCCTCCTCCTGCTCCTGCTCCAGATCCTGAATCTTCCCAGGATCAGGAGGACAGTATAGATTTGGAACAGTGGTTTGCAGAGGGGCATAGCTGAGAAGGCAGAAGCTGGGAAATACTGGATGGGGAACAGCTAGAAGAAACACTGGGAGAGAGAGGGTTAACAGATTCACAGTCTCTGGACAGCATTCACCCCCCTTCTCCAAAGTCAAGGAGAGCTCAGAAAGTGGCAGAACAGAAAGCACAGAGGGTACAAGCTCAGATTACAAGATGTAGGAGTGATATAGATTAATAGGGATGGAAAGGGGTGGATTCCTTAATTGGGAGCACCACCATTTCTAGGAGACGTGTTCTTTGTTCTCTCACTGTGATTATTAAAGTTTCTAACTGGTAAGAAGACTCCTTTTCCTTTGTTCTGCTTATCTACTGCCATGGGGGGAGGAAGCCAATTCCCTGAAGCCTGACAAAAGCGCACACAAACACATACATGCACATCAAGAATCCTAAGAACTATAATTTGTTAAGGAGGCTGGGAATTGTAACTCAGAGAGGGGTAAACTCCATTTTCCATCATTCTTTGTGATTCTTTAAATGTATGTTGTATATGCAGCCAAAATGACTGCTCCATGCTCTCCAACATCTCAGGAGGGCTGTCTCTGTAAATCTACCTCCATGTGTACGCTAAAGGTATTGTGAACAAATGAGACCATGACTGCTACCTTGTTCAGATTTGCCAGCCATCCTCCCTGAAGTCTGCAGAGTTGGTGTGACATTTGGAAAAAAGAGGCCTAAACCTGATGAGCAAGCTCACCATGCAGTAGGTAACATGGAGCCAGCTATGAGAGCAGATTTAAAATATATGTTTATTTTTAAGCAGTACTATTCCCCTTCCCTGGGAACGCGGGTGGTGCTGTGGGTTAAAGCCTCAGTGCCTAGGACTTGCTGATCGAAAGGTCAGTGGTTCGAATCCCCGCGGCGGGGTGCGCTCCCGTTGCTCGGTCCCAGCGCCTGCTAACCTAGCAGTTCGAAAGCACCCCCGGGTGCAAGTAGATAAATAGGGACCGCTTACTAGCGGGAAGGTAAACAGCGTTTCTGTGTGCGGCTCTGGCTCGCCAGAGCAGCTTCGTCACGCTGGCCACATGACCCGGAAGTGTCTCCGGACAACGCTGGCCCCTGGCCTCTTAAGTGAGATGGGTGCACAACCCTAGAGTCGGACACGACTGGCCCGTATGGGCAGGGGTACCTTTACCTTTTTATTCCCCTTCCCTAGTTCTGAGATCTGGAGAGATCCCTGCCCCCTGGGATTTAGCTTTAGCAGAAATAAAAACCCCAGAAACAAGGCTGTGTAGACATGGCCAGGGTCATTCTTTGCCTCAATTCAGATCAAAGCTGCTTTGGGGGGAAAGACCCCAAAATCCAGTACTTGATAAGAAATGACAGTATAGATACTGATTGGGACTAACACCCTATGAACACCACTTGGTACAGGGAGCACATGGGATGCAGAGAAAAGGGGAGCGTGTGGACAGGATTTGCTGACTTGTCTCAACATACGAGGAAAATCTATCACATTCATAAAAGATGAAGTATGGAAGAAGCCATCTAAGAGCCATAATGGTTGGTAATTGCTTGCAATTACATTCATGACCTCTGCCCTAAATCAGTCGACGCATTCAAACAATAATCCCTTACAAGGAGTATTAGCAGAAGAAAACTGGAATAGGTCAGACTTTCATATTCAATTATTTCTGATTTATAATACCCTAGCTACAAGGAGGAGCAGTGTCCACAGAACAAAGTATTGCTCTAATAACAGTAGCTCAGTAAGGCTACTGATCCACTGCCCCGTTGGTAGGTCATTAACAGAGGCAGTTTTAGAGAAGTGCAAACACTGTGGTTGCATTGCAGGGGGCGCCAAAATGATGCTGCAAAAAAGAGTGAGAGAGGTAGGGGTGCTCAATTTTAGCATCAGGCAAGGCACCACTGAAATTTGAGAGTTTGCCACTGTCATTAACTGCAACCACTGAGCCTCTTGGGCTTGCCAATCAGAAGGTCGGCAGTTTGAATCCATGTGATGGGGTGAGCTCCCATTGCTCTGTCCCAGCTCCTGCCAACCTAGCAGTTTGAAAGCACACCAGTGCAAGTAGATAAATAGATACCACTGCAGTGGGAAGGTAAACAGCATTTCTGTGCGCTCTGGTTTCCATCACAGTGTCCCATAGCGCCAGAAGCGGTTTAGTCATGCTGGCCACATGACCCGGAAAGCTGTCTGTGGACAAACACCGGCTCCCTCAGCCTGAAAGCGAGATGAGTGCTGCACTCCATAGTTGTCTTTAACTGGACTTAACCTTCCAAAGGTCCTTCACCTTTTACCCTCCAACATTTCTCCAATGAAAATAGGGACATCCTATTCCATACTCTCCAACATTTTTCTGATGAAACTAGGGATGTCCTAAGGAAAAGCGGGACATTCTGGGATCAAATCAGAAACTCGGACATCTTCTGTAAAACCGGGACTGTCCCTGGAAAATAGGGACACTTGGAGGGTTTGCATATATAGCATGCACAACTTTGGTCTCTCAAGAAATCCAGCTAGGTTGGCAAACTGTGTTGATTGACCCACCTAACTCAAGAGAGACCATCAGTCGTGTACTGGCACCTTGCTTCATAATCTCCCAGCCTCAGACCAGAAGCAAGCAAGCAAAGATTTAACAAGGTCCTAGTGGGCCACCACGGGATGCGGGTGGCACTGTGGGTTAAACCACAGAGCCTAGGACTTGCCGATCACAAGGTTGGCGGTTCGAATCCCCATGATGGGATGAGCTCCCATTGCTCGGTCCCTGCTCCTGCCAACCTAGCAGTTGAAAAGCACGTCAAAGTGCAAGTAGATAAATAGGTACCGCTCCGGCAGGAAGGTAAACGGCGTTTCTGTGTGCTGCTCTGGTTCACCAGGAGCGGCTTAGTCATGCTGGCCACATGACCCGGAAGCTGTATGCTGGCTCCCTTGGGCAATAAAGCGAGATGAGCGCTGCAACCCCAGAGTCAGCCACGACTGGACCTAATGGTCAGGGGTCCCATCACCCTTTACCTTTAGTGGGCCACCACATGGCTGCTGGGGCACAAGTTGTGCAGACCCGATCTAAATTTGGGCATGAGTGCATGGGGACAAACCAGTTCCGACAAGCAGGAATTATTTTTCCCCTGCTCTGGCTTGAAAACAATTGCATTCAGAAGTAGCGTCATGCCTGATGATAGTTTTAAAGTGCCTAAGCTCTGCAGGGACATTTAAGTCACACTTATAAATAACTCTTCTGATAACTGCAATGACAAGCTGCAATTGTTTCAGATGGTTCAGGCAAGCGAATGTCATCACTAACTCTTTAACTGCATCTGGGAAGGATACAGTCAAGATTAACACACACACCCCACAATGGAGAAAATGGAGATGGAGAGAACATGTGTTGTTTGACGAGGTGCAAGACGAGGTGCAAATGCCCTGTTTTCAGAACCGAAACCTTTGTGGTCTGAAGTATCTAGTTGCCACCTGGCTCCTGTTTGAAGCTTACCTGCAGAAAAATGCCAGCTCCAGATTTTGGGAGCTCATGAACAAAATACCCTCTTCTAGATTGCCTACAAATATGAGTGCCTTAAGAGAGCTCCCAGTTCAGACCAAAGATCTATCTAGTCCAAGTAAAAGTGGAGAGTATCCTTTCCCCTGCCTTAAGATCCTTGAAGTAAAAATGGGATGTAAATATAACGAATAAATTAACATAACATTACCTCTGTGTTTTAACCTGGCAATCAAATTGACATTGAGGGACTTGATAGGTACAACCGCAGCAACTGTTACTGGCTCTTTTCTTTCTTTTTCCTTTTCTCGCCTCTGGGCAAATTGGCTACCCTAATGCGTCTGATGCGGAACACACAAATGCTTTCAAATGAAACCTTATCTGTCAGCTCAAAACTTTCGTTCAAGCTGCCTCATGCACTGCTCTTACATGAGGTCTCATAACTGCACTTTGTGTTCTGGTGGCTGAAACATTTGGCAAAGACGGAACAGTGCTGCCTTTAGCACAACAGAGCGATATTATCAGCAAAGCAGCCACCAGAAGGTTAAACTAATGCATTAGAAAAACAAACAAATATACCAGAGAACACACTTTGGGAGATCTTGGAGATTTCCAAAAGGATCTCTTGTTTGTCTAATTGCTGCTACTAAACTGGTAATTAGCTCCAGATCTTCCTCCAAATTAACGCATTTCAAAAACCCAAGAGCAGGAAGAGAAGAAAATGTCATATTCATTTTAAAACTGTTTTGTTATTGTTTGGTGACTGTGAGCATCTATTTATCAGTCTGTTGACTACTAAAACATTCCCAAATGATAGGAGATAGCTGGAATAGAAATCTCTCCCCCAGCTTCTGCAATGTGATATCCAGTGCTTGGAGAAGACGACTCTCTAGGTGAGAAGCAGAGTAAATAAAGTTGGATCCAGATGTCAGTCTGAATTTAGAGAGCATTAGAGAGAGTTTGGGAGCTGTAAAATTGTCTGGAGGTATAAAAGCTGAGCTGAGCTTTCAGAAATGCTGTAAGGGATTTGCTTTCTGCTGTAGGAGTTTCTGTTTGCTTCCAATATACTCTGCTCATATACTTACAATTTCAACATATATTGCAAAGGCACCATAAATCTCTAGTGGTCTCTCCCCCAAAGGAAGTTAAATTTGTAGCTCTTCCCTTGTAAATTTTCACCATTCAGGAAAAAGAGGACCATATAACAGTACATTGCCCTTAGTGTCTTTCTTGTCGGGCAATTAGTAAGTTCAATGAATCAAAAGGGCTCTTTTTAATGTGGGGAAAAGCCTAAAAGTGGCTAAAGAGCCAAACTCTGCTCTCCTGCCTGATGTACATCTGATTCGGGTCTGAACACATTACAAAGCTGTGCACCTGTAGCCATTTTTTTCCTGCTTCTGTATAGCTGTTTTTGGAATGTTAATAGGGAGAAATAACATCGGAAGCTGTCAATACTTATCACAAGTACTGGGGATGAAAATAAGAAATATAAAATGTAGCTTTGTGTCTATTTTGCACATGCAAAATAGATGGAACCCGGCAGAATCATGGGGACCTTCTAGTACAGTGGTACCTTGGGTTAAGTACTTAATTTGTTCTGGAGGTCCGTTCTTAATCTGAAACTGTTCTTAACCTGAAGCACCACTTTAGCTAATGGGGCCTCCTGCTGCCACTGTGCCGCTGGAGTACAATTTCTGTTCTCATCCTGAAGCAAAATTCTTAACCTGAAGCACTATTTCTGGGTTAGCGGAGTCTGTAACCTGAAACGTATGTAACCTGAAGCGTATGTAACCTGAGGTACCACTGTATATTTCTGAATCTTCCTGGCTTTCTCCAGAGAGTAAGGAACCTCCCTCCCAGTATACCCGAAGGAGCGTCTCCACACCCATCATTCAGCGCTCATACACTGAGGTCCACCTCCGAGGGCCTTCTGGCGGTTCCCTCACTGCGAGAAGTGAGTTAACAGGGAACCAGACAGAGGGCCTTCTCGGTAGTGGCACCCGCCCTGTGGAACACCCTCCCATCAGATGTCAAGGAAATAAAGAACTATCTGACTTTTAGAAGACATCTGAAGACAACCCTATTTAGGGAAGTTTTTAAAGTTTGATGTTGTGTTTTTAATATTCTGTTGGGAGCCGCCCAGAGTGGGTGGGGTATAAATTATATTATTATTATCATCATCATCATCATCATCATCATCTTCTCACCTGTACACTGACAACTTCTGTTGAAGAATTTCAGCGGCCATCGTTCTCGGTCGTCCACATTGCGGAGAGTGTAGGGCCCACTCCAGGGTCTGGTGTCCACTTGCACCTCCTTACAGATGCCCCTGCCTTGCTGCGAGCCGCACACGTTGTTAGAATTAGGCCCCAAAGGAGGGCAGCATTGCTTGGACTGCAGCATCTCCACAGTCATGCACACCCGTGGGAATTGCGCCGTGGTCTCCGGAAGCCAAAAGGGGCTCAGGCATCCTAAGAGAGCGCAGCAAAGAAGCAGGAAGCCCATCAGTATCAGACTCCAGGACTTCGCGACTCGCTTTGTTCAACCTGCAAAGTCAGCATGGGATTCAGGGCAGGCGGTCTTATTCGCAGCCTCTGGGCTGAACAAGCAAGCCAGGTTTTATGTGACCAAATGAGGCCTCCAACCCACAACCGGGTTAGACTTTGGGGCGTTTGCTTAATCCTGGAGCCTAATTGTATTGAATGCGGTAGAAACGAGGACAGTTTGGTCCTTTGTTGCTTGCCAAGAGGCCACGGCTGGGGGGTTTCTGTGTAGGGGCAGCAAACCCTAATTAGAAGGATTAGCTTTCTACCAACCCTCGTGCTTAGCACATGACATCAAGGGCAAAAAGAGGCCTTTTGAGAGGTGGGGGATATGTGAAAGACTTTGGCTCTGGGTCTCCTTGTCTTCTCTCTCGCTTGTTCTCTTTTGTACTCTGCAACACCGCTAGCATCAGAGTTCATGCACTGTGCATGGAGACACCGGTTTCTTTGTGGCATAGATAGCTAGAATAAATATAATGTTATGCAGAGAGAGAGAGAGAGAGAGAGAGAGAGAGAGAGAGAGAGAATTTAAAACAGTAACCTACTATAAAGCCTTAAATAAATACTCAGCGCTGAAAGCCTCAGCCTATCTGCTGCACCTATCTCTGGTTTGATAATATTGTGAGTTTCTTTGTCTTGTCTTTGTTCTTTCGGACTTGCCTTGTATTTTCAGGTTGGTTCTAATTGTTCATAGCTGCAAAAAGTAGCATGCAGGCACCAGATGGCTGAGGTATAGAACTTCTCTAGAGATAAATAAAATAAGTACTGTATAAATAAATTGGAAGCAGATAATCGTTTATGAGAAAACCAAGAGCAGTTGGAGGGAAGTTTTCGCTTCTCAACGTGGAGCATATACACACATCTTTTGTGCCATTGTTACCTCTGAGAAGACAGGATATGCAGGTCTTTTAAACAGTATCGAAAATCTGCTAAATATTGTTACTGGAGGAAAAAGCAATATGAGTTTGCATGCCACTAATAGTGACATTCCTCTTCCAAACCATTTTCTTCTCTCTTTCTCTCTCCCTCCCTCCCTCCCTCTTTTAAGTATATTTCTGGCCTGAAGAATGTCAAGAAAGGAAGGAGGGAGAAAGGAAAGGAAAGGAAACAGGAGCCAACAATTGCTATAGTCCTTGATCAGCAACAGAAGGGGATGCCAGACTGCTGGGAAGTGAGTCACATGCTTTGTATGCATAAAGGTTTAGATAAACCGATTGGAAGCATGGCTGACTTGGTATAAGACAGCTTTCCATGTGCAACTGTTTCTGGGGAGGCTGGTCCATATCTTCACATGCATAAGATCTCAGGTCCAGTTCCAGGACTGGAACAAGTGTTTTTGGAACTTTCTGGGCACAGGGCAAGCAGAAGTGTGAATGAGTCCTTGCTGTGGGCTTTCCTCCCCCCTACTTTCACAGGGGTACACCCTCCAATGTCAATGTTCTCCCTCCAAGCACACCCACCCCATAAGATTGCCTGCCCCAATTCCTGCCCACAAGGCTTGTTTGGTTTGGTTTTCTTGTGCCATCTTGCATCTGCCAATCTCCCTAAACTGAGGATTCATTTCCTAAAGTAATGAAACAGCATTACAAACGCAATTAATTCACCAGAAATTCGCCTTGAGCAACCCCATCTCAAGAAACGGTCGGCAAGTTGTCTGCCAACATACCCAGGCCAGACTTTTAAGATGATATCAAACATGTACATACTCATTCAGGTGACATCTCCCCCTTCCCCTGAAGGTTCAAAGCTTTCTATTTCATTGTATGCTTGCAATAATCCAGTGAGGTCGTTTGGGCTGCGAGGTTATCACAGCCTATGCAACCTCATGGGATTATTGCACTTGGTACTTCTTTGCCCGAATTTTCTTGGGTTTTTTATCATTAGAAGGCAGAACATGAGTGCAGCCCATGAAAGAAACACTAGAAAACACTAGACTTCTGCAAAGTGTCACAGAGGAGGTGGCTGGGACTCAGGCAGAAATCCTTGGGACGAGAATTGGAGAATTAACAAGCAAGCTCCTATTTTCATCTGAGAAATATCGGAAATTAAGTTGGAAGTTAAATGACTCCAACCTACTGCTATCACAGTCAACTTAATGTTATTGCACCCCATTAGCTAGGGTGTGACAATTATTTAACTAATACACATTCTGATTTTACCAGGTATCTATATTTGAATGGAAGTAGGCTTAGATATTTGGACAAACAGTTGCTTCCCAACCTCACACAGTTGCTCATCACCATCACTCCAGCTGGAATCTGAATTATGTCTCCAGCCGTAGGCTCAAGCACTGAGAACCAGTACTTCTTAAAACTGGGGCTCCTTCAGGCACTGAAGCTATGCATCCCATAGAAAATGACTAGATGGTCTCTGGACACACCCCTTGGCTAATCTGCAGAAACTGTGGTTCCTGAGACAACGCAATTCCTCTCCTCAAAGTGCAAAGCAAACATGTTAACAGGGTTCCTTCGTATTAAGGTAAAGGCTAAACCCCTGACCATTAGGTCCAGTTATGACCAACTCTGGGGTTGCAGCGCTCATCTCACTTTATTGGCCGAGGGAGCCGGCATACAGCTTCCGGGTCATGTGGCCAGCATGACTAAGCTGCTTCTGGCGAACCAGAACAGCGCACGGAAACGCCATTTACCTTCCCGACGGAGTGGTACCTATTTATCTACTTGCACTGGTGTGCTTTCGAACTGCTAGGTTGGCAGGAGCAGGGACCGAGCAAAGGGAGCTCACCCTGTCGCAGAGATTCGAACCACCGACCTTCTGATCGGCAAGTCCTAGGCTCTGTGGTTTAACCCACAGCGCCACCCGCATCCTGTTCCTTCGTATTACACCACGAGAAAAGCTGTAAGAGGCCTCAGACCAGTAACAAAAGCATTACTGGATGGCAGCCCATTGACACCATGGCAGTGAAGTATCACTTCTTTGCCACCACTTTGTAGCCTGGGTAACATGTTCACCCTTGTGTTAGTCTAGATGTACATCAGGGTTTACCAACACCAAAGTTCTAGCTATCTCCCTGCCCTGTTTCATTGCCCATACATCCCCAGAAAATCAAAGTATTGGATGGGCTCTGTATTGGAGGACGGGATGCATAGGAACAATCATGTCAAACTCCTGAGTCATCTCCACATCCCACAGAATGACCAGGACATTGACAGAATAGTCAACCATTCTAGCCAGAAACTTCCCAAGAGCTCTCAAGAATCACTCCAATTCCTACTGGAATCCTCATCTCCTGTTCCTCTGACATCAAGTATGTGGTGGCTGGATTCCAAGGGATAGTGCAGAAATGATGTTTCTCCTCAAATGTATGGCTTCCTGGCAGGCCCAGCACTCAGAAAGGGCCATCGCCTACCCACATCTGCCAGGCTGTCATCAGGACCATCTCTTGGTGCTTTGTGGCCCTGCCATGTTCACCACCACCAAAGCTGTGTTTGTGGCACTGTTGCCGCTTGCTGCCATCACTTCACACAAACCTCACTTTTAAACAGGAGCCAAATTCATGCTTGTTGTCTTTGTCCATGGGGTTTTCTTGGCAGGGATACTGGAGTGGCTTGCCGGTTCCTGCTCCAGATGGATCACATTTGGTCAAACTCTCCACTATGACTTTTTGAATTCTGGTGCTGGAGGAGACTCTTGAGAGTTCCATGGACTGCAAGAAGATCAAACCTCTCCATTCTTAAGGAAATCAGCCCTGAGTGCTCACTGGAAGGACAGATCCTGAAGCTGAGGCTCCAATACTTTGGCCACCTCATGAGAAGAAAAGACTCCCTGGAAAAGACCCTGATGTTGGGAAAGATTGAGGGCACAAGGAGAAGGGGACGACAGAGGACGAGATGGTTGGACAGTGTTCTCGAAGCATGAGTCTGACCAAACTGCGGGAGGCAGTGGAAGACAGGAGTGCCTGGCGTGCTCTGGTCCATGGGGTCATGAAGAGTTGGACACGACTAAATGACTAAACAACAACAAACTCATGCTTGGCTCTGCTCCGCAGTGGCCACATTGTCCCGAAACTCAAAACTTGACCAAAGATTGGGTCAGGCATTGAGTTTCAAGCAGCGGCCCATCTTGCTGTCAGCACCATGTTGAAGTTCCAGCGAAGCCCGGCACTGGCTCTCC